TCTCTCTCTCTCTCTCTCTCTCTCTCTCTCTCTCTCTCTCTCTCTCTCAAACAAGAAGCAGGCCTATCGAACACCTTCGGCTATGGAAACAAACATCTTGGCCAAAACGGCGATTTTGGTTGGGTTGAATATCTTCTTCTCCACGCCAAACTCGAACCTGATCACAAAAATCCAATCCTCTCCATTTTTGAAGAACACCCAGAAAAATTCCAGTACGAATCCATTAAAAATGTGTAATCTTCAAGCTCATTTTTCTCTATCTTTGTATGGTCTAAAATGTTGGTTTAATTTGTTTCTGCAAATATCTGGTGAATTATTACGTGACAGCAGTGAAGAAGATAGCTTGTGACATTCTTGAATTCTCAACAGATGAATTGAAATTGCATCCATGAAATGTATTTATCAAACTGTTAATGGATGAACAAAGCGACTCTGTTTTCAGGTTGAATTACTATCTGCCATGCCCAGAGCTTCGAGAACACAAACCGATAGGAAGGAAACCGATTGAATTTGGAGAGCACATATACCCACAAATCATTTCGGTTTTACGATTCAACAACACTTCTGGTCTTGAAATTTCGTTGAGAGATAGGAGTTGGATGTTTGTTCATCCTGATTCAAACTCCTCTGCCCCGTCAACTTCTTCCTCAGTTTACTTGGAGATATTATCCAAACCTAAATGGATTGAAAACCCACGACAAAAAAGAACCCCCACAAATGTGGATTGAACGGGAAGACGAACTGATTCCACAAAAAACAGAAGATTTGTAAGGGCAATCCGAGTGATGAACAGAAATCAGAAAACGGATTGGAATATAAAAATGAACAGAGGGAGCTGCTACTGATTTCATTGACTACATTTGCAGCATAGTAAATTAGCGAGAAGAACATGAAAAGTTTACCTGAAGCTTGTGAATCATGTCGTACTTTACAATCCCTTGGTTTGTGTTGTCTAAAATGAGATCCAAATGATCAGCATCAGTGATAGGCTCCATTTCCACAAATGCAGGTCTTGATACGTCCCAAAAGGCTTCGACTTTACAATCCCTTTTCACAATTTTCTTAGATTGTTCAGTTTTTCTTCAATCGTAGCCAAACCCACAAGTTTTTATCGGATTTGAACAACACCCGTTGCTCCAATTTGGTTGATGTGGCTGTTGCTGGTCTCTGTGTGGGATTTCTCTGCAGAGAAGATGAAAGAATATAAAAATAATTATTATTATTATTTTAATATACAATTTCACTATTAAAGGCACCAAATGTTAAGGATTAATGAGAGAGAGACTTTAATATTAAGTAATTATATATTTTTTTTTTTTTTTTAAATAAGACGAAACTTCATAAATGGTCTCTATAGTAGTGAAAAGACAGAAATGTCATTCACTTAACGGCCAAAAGCTAACGGAGTTAGCGAAAATGATCATTTGTTAAAAGTTTTGAAACCACAAGGATCATCTGTGAGGTTTTTAAAAATTAGGGACTAAACTTCAGATTTTCGAAAACTATAGAAACCATTTTTGAAGTTTTGTCTTTAATATAATAAATTAATATCTAATTAAGATATATAACTATTTAGTACCAAATTACATAATTTGTAATTTTATTAGTGTTATATGTACTTGTATTTCTAATAATATGTATATTCACCTTTGGATAATAACGAAAATTTAGAGTATATATTAGAAAATTCGGAAAATAAAATATATATTTTAAGTTTTTAAACAATCAAAATTTTGGTATTTAATTCCTAACGGATAATATGTAAATTTTTTTTAATTCATAACTTCAGTAATGTATAAATCTTTTTATAGAATTGTATAACAAAGTACTCTCAAATAACAGTGTAAAATAGTAATAATAATAATAATAATTAATAAGACACCTAGGAATAATAAATATGGCCTTTGAAAATGACTTTTTAATGTAGAAACTAGTAAGTGTCGGCAACAACTTTCAGTTACATGTCTCTTTGAAAAAACCTTTACACACTTTCGTCTGAATGGTCTGTCTTATTTTCTTTCATTTTTTAGTTAAAGATTACATTCTATCTTTTTTTTTTTTTAATCTTTTTATGGGTAACATTTTTGACAGGTGATTGGTATATTATCTAGATTAAGTTAATACTTAAAACACGTTTTACTTTTGAAATACCTAAAAGACAAAACTGTACGAATGGTCTCTGTGGTTAGCTGAAAATTTATCACTTTGGTCCAAAAAAGTTTGGACTAGCATCAGAGGTCCCAACTTTTCATTTTGTTGCGAGTTTGGTCGATTTTGTTTGAACTTTTTTATAAAGACGATTTTGCCCTTGATTATTTAATATTTTAATTTTCTTTTATTACAACAATTAAAAAGAATTAAAAATAAAAGAAAAAAGAAAATACTCTCTCTCTCTCTCATAAACCAATACGATCAACACATATCCTTGTTCTTCCCTTCTGCATTCGTTCCCAGCCAAGAACACAAGAGCATTCTTGTTCTTTTCATGTATACCTGCAAATGAGAAATACAACCACTTCCTTGTTATTGCTTCATCTTCTTTCCATGGCAATTTCAAGCAACCAAAACACAAACCTAAACCTAGTGATTTACACCCCATCGATTTCCTGTAAAAGATTAACCTCACTCATCCATTCCATTTATCCATTTCTGTCAAGAATCAATCAACAAACACTCATCTTAACCTAAATCTATTGACTAAACCCCATGGATTTACAGTCAAAGTAAAAAAAAAAAAAGAGAGATGAAAGGAAACCTGTAATTGTCGAGCAAACAACAACGCCGAACACCCCCCACCGCACCTGTCCTTCTTCCCGTCGAGCTCCACTGCCAAACACACCACCTGCCAAACACACCATCTCACTACTGCCCTACCTATCGATTGGTTCCTGAAAATTGTCTGTGAAGCAACTTTATGTGTGCTTTCCCAATCTGGACTATCCAGCCCGGTTTATGTGCAGCCTCTTTTTGCCCTTGTTCTTAATTTCTCATCGGCGATTGAAGATAAAATGGGGTGGCTTTGTGAAATTTTGATCAGAGAAAAGAAAAAAGGGTTCGATTTCCCTGTTTATGTGATGTGCGAGACACACACGCATAGAGAGGCGATTTGCGATCATAAAGAAATAAGAAAAAAAAGAAATCAATTTACTGCAAGAGAAAGAGGGGTGCGATTTTGATGGAGTGAAAATGGTCTCTTTTGTAACAAGTTTCTTCCATAAGATTCTTTCCTAATCTGAATCCACCATATGAAAATGGTCTCTCCCCGATTTGAAGGAGGAAAGAAGGAGAAAATGGGGACAAACAGAGAAGGAGTGACGATGTAGTTGCTGTTCGTCGGTGATGCTTCTGGTTTGGGTGATGGGTGAGGTATGGTGGGTGATGTTGAGGGTCAAGCGGGTGGGTGGGGCGAGAGAGTATTGGTCTTTTCCGGTGGTGTATTTTCCGGCGAGAGAGGAATGGGAGGAAGGGTACAAACGTTTTCACCAGATTGCAGATCGGAGGGGTTAGTTTAAGAGAAGAAGATGGGGTAGGATTTTTTTTTTTTTTTTTTTTGAGAGAGAGAGGGTATTTTCTTTTTTCTTTTATTTTTAATTCTTTTTAATTGTTGTAATAAAAGAAAATTAAAATATTAAATAATCAGGGGCAAAATCGTCTTTATAAAAAAGTTCAAACAAAATCGGACCAAACTCGCAATAAAATGAAAAGTTTGGATCTCTGGTGCTAATCCAAACTTTTTTGGACCAAAGTGGCAATTTTCAGCTAACCACAGGGACCATTCGTGCAGTTTTATCTACCTAAAATAAATAGTAGTAGTTTAAAATATACAAATAACAGTATTTGGGTTTTCTTCTATAGTGAAATTTTGAAGAGGTGGAATACAATTGTTGAAACAAAATTTCACATATATAAACAATAAAAACCCGATTCTTAACAATTTAATGATCGTCATTTTTTCGGTTTTCTGCAAGTACATCAATGTTACGGTTTTTATTTTGTATATCAATATCGGTATATTTTTATAGGAAAGAATTATGTTACAATAGTCACAATACAATATTAACATAATCCTTAGAATTTATCGATATTGATCTATAATTAGTACAAGTAAAAAAAAAGCAACTTTGATTTGTTTGATCATGGTTGTGGATGATGAAAAATGGTAAATTTTGAAAAAAGAATATTATTAATCTATCAATTCTCATATATTTTTTTATGTTCTTATTTGAACTGTCCCTAAAACCTATAATGGATAATACTTGTTCAAACTTTTATAAGAATGTATCAAAAACATTTTTCCTAAGAGTGAAACAAAAAATTAACTTAGAGACGACCTATAATGGATAATACTTGTTTAAACTTTTATAATAATGTTTCAAAAACACTTTTCCTCTAAGAATGAAACAAAACAAAATTAACATAAAACCTATAATAGATAATCTTTGTTCGAACTTTTATAAGAATGGAACGAAACAAAAAAAGATTTAAGAAAGATGGAATAAATCCACAACTTGGTTTAAGTTTCTTGACATTCTTCCAAAAAAAATGACAAAATGACTATTTGGTAGAAACCAAATTAATCATTGTTGAACCATTAAGAGGTCTAAATTATTCAGTAATATTTGGTAAGATTGCTGAATGAAAAAATTATTGCTTTAACTTTTAACCATCTACAAAGATATTTGTCCTACAACCAACAAAATTCTTACCAGTTTAGATTTTAAGAAGTAACCAATTCACTTGTATTAAGGTCGAAACTCTATTACAAATTGAGATCCTATTTGTATCTCCAATATCAGAAACCCTAAATAACTGAATTGACTCCAATCGAACATACGTTTCAAACAAGCAAAATGTACAAATTACAATAACAATCAACAATAAACAATCCAAATTAGAAGCATATTATAAATGAACTCCATCCATTAAATATTTTAGTGGACATCAACAAATGGCAAATCCACATCCACATACTTTATAATTTTAACCAAAAGATTCAACACAACACAACATAACACAAACACATGCAAATCTTCCTCTAATACGGCCTATACCTCATATCCAACCTTGAAGATCTCCCACCACCGCCCATACTTCCACCTAACCCGCCCATGCCGCTACCTAACCCGCCCATACCTCCCCCCATCCGCCCCATTCCTCCCATCCTCCCCATCCCACCATAACCCCACTACAAAATTTAAAATTAAAATTAAAAACATTTTTCAACATCAATCTTTCATTTTGATAAAGAGAACAAAATAAAAACAAATCTAGCCACATTGAAAAAACTTAGGTTATGTTTGGTGTACTAGCTGATAGCTGAAAAGCTATCTGTTAAATAAAAAGCTAGCTGATAAAAAATGTCGTTTGGTAAAACAAGCTGTAAATATAAAATGACTTAAAAGGACAGTTAAAAGAATACGTTTCTATAACTAATTATGGGGTATATTTGGAAATTTTTAAAAAAACTCCTAAAAAACTAGTCTAAGACTGTGTTTGGCACGCTGATAAGCTAGCTTATTTTTAGAGCTTTTTTAAGTTGTCATGTTTAGCAAACCAAAAAGTAGTTTATAAGTTAGCTTTTTAAGAGCTTTTTTAAAAAATTTCAAATATACCCTTTAGTTAATTATGGAAACACATTTTTTAAAATGCCCTTTCATGTCATTTTATATCTTTCTGCTAGTTTTACCGGACACTATTTTTTATCAGCTTCAGCTAGCTTTTTATTTAACAGCTAGCTTTTCAGCTAACAGCTAACTTTTCAGCTAATATGTCAAACATAGCCTTAAGTAGCTTTTTAAAAAGCTAGTTTATAAGCTACTTTTTGGGTTGCCAAACATGACAACTTAGAAAAGCTCAAAAAATAAGCTAGCTTATCAGCTAGCTGTGGCGTGCCAAACACAACCTTAGTCTTTTTGCAAAATTAGTGGTTATTTATGGAATAAAAAAAGGTTAGATTTGTCTTTTTCTCTTTAAAAAAAAATACTCACATCATCAAAATCCAAGCTTCCATACATTCTTCCATAGCCTCGCATCGGCCCATAACTACCTCCATACGGTTCAGGATTTTCCAAATATGCCCCTCCTCCTCCACTTGACCCCCCATCATCAACAGGTGTAGCTGAATCTATCGCAACCTAAAAATGCAAAAATTACTCCACAGTCCACATAACTATATAAATTGCAAATTTGGTCCCTATTGTATACTAAAATCAACAGGTTTTGTCCAACTTTTACTTTTGTTACAAATTTGTCCTCATTGTTTCATTTTGTTGCGAATATGGTTTCGTGGTCGATCGATACCAACTCGGTTGTTTTTTTATTTCAAAATGACTATATTGCCCTTAGACCAAACACTACAGGGACCAAATATGTAATTTACCATACCATTATAACTTTCATCAACATAAGAAGTTTTTTGTTAAAAGTTAAAACGTATCATATTTTTCAATAAATGGAAAATAATTTAAAAACTTATATTTTCAAAGATAATTTAAAATAAAATACGTTATGATTTATGAAAATGTTAATAATAAAATTACAAATTTGGTCTTTGATGTATATTATGTGGGGTTTTAGTCAAAGGGCAAAATTGTCATTTTACAAAGAACAGATGTGAAGTTAGATTTAACCAACGAAAAGCATAAAATTTGTCTTTCATTCTAAGTATGCAGCATACACATAGAAAAAAATCTGTAATTTGTTATAAAAAATATTACAAGTTATATAAAAAAAAATTAAAAATGTAAAATTTTTAAAGTACCTGTTGTCCACAAATCTCATGTGACCTTCTTGACACACGATCTGCAACACCATCTTCAGCAAATGTCACAAAACCAAACCCTCTGTGACCAGATCTTTTTGGATCCTATATATTAAATTGTAAATATTATAAATTATTTAAAATTCAAGTAATTTACAAATTTGGTCCTTGATTTTAGCATATTTTTTCAGTTTTGCTCCCTAAAGAAATCTGTTTACAATTTTGGTCCTTATTTCGATGTTTCATAGCAAATACATTCCCTAAATCATCAAATCCACATACCCAGCTGTTAATTTATTTTTAAATTGACCATATTGCCCTTGAAGGCTTGAACCAAAACTGAGAAAAAACAGCATGATCATCAACTTGCAAACATCCATTCGCAAAATAATAATATCACTATGGTTCTGCCAATATAACATCTTTTTCTCATTTTAGGTCCAAGGGTAAAATGGTCATTTTCAGAAATCAGAAAGAATCAGCTGGGTAGCAGTTAAATTTAATGAACCAGTGACCAAATCACCAAAATCAATATGAAACATTAAAATAAAGACCAAATGTACAAACAGTTCTTTTAGAAACCAAAATCATTATAAAACTGTTCCTTTAGGGACCAAAACCAAAAGGATTGATAAAATCAAGGACCAAAATCGTAAAATTAAAATACCTTTGGGACATAAGCATCCAAAATTCTTCCAAATCTTCCAAAATATTGGCGAAGATCTTCTACACTGGCATCCTGAGAAAGCCTACCAACAAAGATTTTCTTTCCCATTCCCCGAGTTGACTCGCCTCCTGTGATTTCTCATAAAATTAAATAAATAATTGTTTGATTATTTTAATTTAATTTTATGGAAATGAAAATGAAAACATACTTCCATAAATGGGGCCCGGGTAATCATATGATGTAGGAGCACCTAATGCAGCATATCTAGTTGTCACATAAGCATTATATGCACCATATCCTCCTCCTCCTCCTCCTCCTCCACCACCACCACCACCACCACCACCGCTACTGCCGCCGTGAGACATCCGGCTAACTGGCCGGAAATCATCTTCCTTGGGTGTTGCTCGGTCAACAACCACAGTTGACCCCCCTAGTTCATGGGTTTCAGACATGAGATCATCCACAGAATCTGTAAATAAATAACATAATAAGTTAATTGCTTGAAAGTTTGATAAATTGTTTAAATTTTAATCAAATTAAAAAGATTTAAATCTTTAATGGAATTACCAGCAGTTGCAAAAGTAATGAAACCAATTCCACGATGCCCTTTGGTGCTTGGATCCTAAAGAAATAAAATATTAAGTTCCTATAAAACAAATTAACAGAAGAAAATATAAAATTTTATGTACCTTGGGCATGTACAAATCCGTAATTTCACCAAATTTATCAAAATGGCTGGAAAGAAACAAAGTAACAAACACATTGTATATTAATAGAGACAATAATTCAAACAAATCATAGAGTGTATAAAATCTACCTCCTGAATTCATCTTCTGTAACTGAGGGAGGAATTCTAGCAACAAATATCCTGGTGACTTTCTTTGAAGGTGCTCTCATTTCCTCCTAAAGAAGAAGAAAAACAGCAAATTTGATTAAGATTATGAAAATTTCAGAAGTACAATATGATAAAGTGTTGGAAAAAAAAACCTTTGGTGTGGCTATTTTTACTTCAAGTGCTCTATTCCCTAGGAAGTGTTCACTCGCAAGCGCAGCCTATAAAAATTGTCATCAGAAAATGATTTAAATTAACAAGTATGAAGATCTATCGATCTTGTATGTAATAAGAAAGTTTCAATAAACAGTAACTTGCCTTGGCATCTTCAACTGTTGCAAAGGTTACATATCCAAAACCACGAGATCGACCACTTGAGCGCTCCTGGAATTATAAAATCCAGTTTAAACATCAAAATTGGATTTGTTCACAGAAATTCAGATTGATTTATCACATTTTAATCAAGAAAGGGAGAGAAAGGAACAAGCATTGATCTTTAAAGCTTATTCCTTTGAAGAAAATTTCATCATACAAAAGACCATGTTGTGATTTTAAAGAGTGGCTAACCTTCATCACGATGCAGTCCTCCAAATCGCCATATTTGCTCATGTAATCCTTCAGACCATCAGTATCGACGTCCCAAGGGATGCCCAGTACCTAATATGGTAATATATATTCAGACATACCATGGATTTGAGTTCTCAGTGACACGATGAAACAGAAACAAAAAATGATGGCATAAGGAGAAGCTTACCACGAGTTTTTTCTCAGACATAAAGGAGAAAACAGGTATTAGGGTTTACAGTGAGAAAATCACACAATACAACACTCAATTCCTTCTCTTTAGCTCTCGCGGTCTCACCAAATTCCTCTCTCTCAATTAATCTCTCACACACGAAGACGAAGAAGACTCCTGCACACAATACACACACCTCTTTCTCACACACAATCACCATCATCATCAATATCATCATATTCCAATACAAACTCACCATTTTTATCATCTGTACATCTGAAAAAACGTATACCTAAAATGGAATAATTAAACGATCGATTACCGATACCTTCGATTATATAGTTTTGTTCGGAATTTCAAAACCCTAAATCGCAGATCCCTCGGGTCGGGCCACACTCCACTCTCGGATCTCTCTCGCGCTCTCTCTCTCTCCCTCTCTCTCTCTCTCTCTCCAAGGCGCCGCTCAGCTACGCTCGTCTAATTGCAAAAAGAGCTTACCAGGAAAGGGAATCGTATATTTGGATATTATCTTCATGGGGAAAGTGACATTTAGGACCTTATACTAGGCTTAAACATCATTTATAACCCTTCATTTTTCTTTTAACCACATCAATTTGAAACTCTCAACTATTTTTCCTTTCACCACATTCATTTGAAACTCTCATGACTTTTCGATAATGATTATAAGTTGGTTAATAAGATTAAATAAATATCAAGCCTAAAATATAATCATAAATAAACTAAATTTCAATATTAAAATAATATATTTACTTCTACTTACAAAGTTATGTCTTTAACTTTTAACATATTATACTTAATATATTAGATTTAATATGTTGTTGTATTTAACCATTATCAGTTAAAGCTACAACTTTTAAACA